ACTATTACGCACATACAATATTATGTATAGAGACGTATAAAATATATTATGTAGTTACATTATTTCCCTAAGGGCTTTCTGAAGCCAGTAGGGCTACCAGCTAATACCACGTTCTTTATTAGGACCACAGATAACTATGAAACGTACATTGATCGTAGTTGGCGGGAATTTTCGTAGGTAGTAGATACTTTTTATCTGAGTACTTAGTTAATAGCTTTTTAACGAGGTGTTCAATCCTTACTAATAATATAAATCGGAAAGTGAGTTTGTTTGTTCCGATTTCACGCCGTAACCACTAAACCGATTGCTTTGAATTTTTGCAGACGTAAAGTTAGAAGTCTGGATTAGAAATCTGTATGTCCGATATGCAATGAGTTAACTAAGTAGGCAGTTATTTGATTATCGACATCGTTAAGCTGTAGGTGTACTCTAGGTATACCGAAAGTGACTAAGTACGAATCGGAATAGGTATATGATAGAGATAAGTAGTTTTTTTTAAAACGGGCGGAGACCTTAAAAACTCGCCTAGCTTTTGTGGAGATAAAAAACTAGGGAGTGTGGGACTCTTACCTTACTAAAACCACCCCAGTGGCCACCATCATCACCTGTAAGTGGTATAAGACAAGAGCGAGTTAGACCTAGCTCAGACTAGATCCAGATCTAGTCTGATCTATGAATTCCAACTCATGACTCGACTAGTTATCTGTACTAGTACTAAGGCCTCTGTTTGTTTGAAAAGAAAAAAGTTTGTTTGTAACACACTACTTAATCTTCGAAATTACTGGTCTGATTTGAAAAAATCTTATTGTATTGTATAGTCCATTTATCGAGGCAGGTTTAAAGCTATAAAACATCACGCTACGATTAATAGGTGTCAAGCGGCGAGTGAAATCGCACGGTAGTACCGTATAGGTGTGTATCATGTAATAAGATTCCCTTTAATTATTCAGGTGCATTTACACCTGACATGATGTAGGTAGGTACTTACATAAGTATACATATCTATCTCTTTTATAGAGAAAAGGTAATTATCGTTTGATTAACTCGCCTTTAATATAACTAGCTGCCTAAATAACTTTTCGCAAATTCATAAATGAAATGGTTACTAGCTTGCCTACATATTTAAAGTAGGTAGGTAGATTAGGTAAAACTGGTTGTCCTCTAAGCAAACGAGATGCCGACCATAATGTTAGCAATAACTAATTCAAATTTTATTGATGGTACCTATCTATATTAGTGTCTAAGTGCATTTAATTTTAATGGGATAATGCCGAGCTAAATTGCACCAGTCAGTATGTATTTAGGTAGGTAGGTACCTATGATAGGTAGCTAACAACTCTGTCTCGGAAATCAGTAATTAACTGAACTACAGAGATATAAATCTCTGTGGTATTCAGACAAGGTATTTAGGTGAGTAGGTACCTACATACCTACCTTCTTTTCGAGGGGTGAAAATCATCCAGTGCCTTCTCCCGCCTTGGGTTAGGCGAGAGGGAGTGTCAGACTCTTACTAACTAAAAACCACCCCGTTCCTACTCCTCTTCGAGCCGCAGCCGCGAATACCCGTTAGGGCTTTCGCGGCGCCGTTGGATACATACCTAGGTATAGGCACTTAACTAATATATATAACGTAGTAGGTATTAGATACCTATATAGTGTCGTTATTTCTTGGTTAGTCTGATTGTTATTTATTTACTTTTCTGAATAGGTAGTTACTTTGACACCGCACGAAGACGTCGGTCATTAAGAACAATGTCGTAACTAATTCATAGCACCAATTAACAAACGACTTAAACGATAATTAACCAACCAATAGATGGGAGGATGAGAGCAACCCAGTAATATAACCATAAATAAGGAAAAACAGAAGTAATACTTAACTTATTTACCTCTATCTATTAATAAATTTCTTTTATTCACAACATACTATGAAACTTACTTTTATAATGTCATCGAGTTCACATCCCGTCGAAATACAGTTCGGTATAACTCCAGTCACATTTAAGAATTTAAACTGTAGTTTAAATTAACACACGTTCATGATAAAACAACAGAAACCATTGTTATCCGGCTTATGACTCACACTAGAAAATAAATCCTGTTACGAACACTTGAATTTGCCGCAAATATGTCATGTTAAGTAATAACTCTACAAACAAAACTTTATGCAGATAATAATGTCATTCACAGTATTCACATTAAACTTGAAGTCTTCTTTGATAAATGAATCAAATTATATTCCAACAAACTCAAAAACAACACTGAACACAAGTAAATCACAACTTGAACTAAACTTTACTAACTTAGAATAAGTACATGTTGTAAAATTGCCCAACTCTGTAATCTTGCAGTAATATTGACATTGAGTTATTTGTTAATAATAAGTTAAACTTTCGGCCGGAAATAGTCAGTATGCAATATTCAATGATAGATATCAATAAAAAATAACCTTTTACGTTTATTCTACATCATAGCTAAGGCATTTTTTGTAAAATTGAAGGCCATTACTCGTGTTGTAGAGTAAGCCTTTGTACCATACAATAGAGTTGCTTTTGAGAATTCTCCTTTTACCGCGTTCCGTTTTACCATATTCTGATTGGAATTCAGTGGTCACAGATAAAAAATGACGGTATTTTGACATCTAAGCTCGAACATGAATTATTTGTGTTTGAATTTCTACTTCATTTGTAGTATTTATAAATCAATATTGGATGGGATTTTGTTAAACTATATTGTCAAAATCCTTTTAGTTTTAGTAGACTATAAATACAAGCTTTGCGTTTAGTTTTGTGCTACGTATAGATAAAAAATTGTTGGATACTAACACACATTTTTATAAACACTCTTTTAGGTTCCAATTGGAAAGTTTTGTTAATAACCTTATAAATTGTTTTTTTTTCGTTTTCTTTTTTGTCGTTATTGTAACCAATATGGAACTAATATCTCTCTGACGCAATTTTCAAACAGATGGCTGTCGCTTGGTTTAAACTTTAAAGTTTAAAGCATGTAAATTGTATAGGGATAGTACGACAAGCAACGGCTTGACATTTCTTTTCAGATGCAGCAAGATAATCAGATGAAAACCATATAGTGAAAATCTGGGCATACATTTAATTGCCGAATAATTACCCTTGCCCGTAGGTCAATCAAAGGTTCAGAACAAAAAATTTAAGTACCTACAATGTTTTTGCGTTTTGTTAGTCCCCACCTAAAACTTAAGTAAAGGTTAGTTCTCTGAGCTTTAGGTTTCTCTGAGCACAAAAATAGGTAGACCGGTGGTTGAACTCCGTTTTTCCGTCGAGTTCAATGTCATCGCCACTACTGCTATGAATATTATCTAACTAATACGTAATACCTACACGTGTAGATATTATAGCTTAGTAGCTTATCCAGAGATTAGGTACTATTAATGTCTGGTTGACTGTTGACTGAAAATATTTAATTCGTAATCGAGTTATTTAATTATTGGAATATACCTCTTTTTAATGAATTGAATGAACCTAACCAATCAATTGAAATAAGTAACCAGGTACCTACTAACTTACAGATTATTAAAGACATACAATTAAAAATAATAAACAGCTGCATTCAATACGTATAATGATTTCATCTCCTGCAAAGTTAAGGTTATTTGAAGCAGGAGTTACTACCATTGTTAAAAAACACCCTTCCTATTTAAATTGGCGGTTTTGTTTTCGATGGGGATGGGGTATTGTCAAAAATAAGGGTGCATACCACGTGACACGCCAACTTGAGAAGACTAAGTATTTATCTCGCGGATACACAGATGGCGCTTGAACTTATTTAAAATTATGAAATTAATACATTGTTTTCAGTTTGGCTCAATAGTTCTTATATTATAAGCATTATAATACTACCTGCTTCGACGATGTAATTTTTACAATACTTCGTGCGTGTACCTATTCGTAACGTTAATAACTTCAGTATTTCTGATCCAATTTATTGGTATATTGTTACATTGGTATACTTTAGAGTTGATATTGTTGTCACCTGGTTATCATCTGGTGATAAAATCACAAGGGAATCGACGGCAACCCTCAAATTATATGCACATTTTACGTTTATTGAATAAACTTTATTCTGACAATTACGTAAAGTTAATCAACTACTTGTGCCTGATGATTATCATTTCATGTTAATGAGATGGTGATGGAAGGAACTTTTTCTCAACGGTATGCAGTTCAAAGAAAATTATTTCAAGATTAAGTGTACCTCGGTAGGTACTAATATACTTAATATTGTATCGAGAAATATGTTCTTTGAGGCTATTAGGTTGACCCGATTGTAGAAGGTACATTTTCAACGTTTAGAGACTAGGTACTTTACTTTCTTACTCTTCAACGGGTTAAATCTCATTATTGTTTAGGTCTTAGGTAGGCAGGCAGAAGAATAGATATGGCCTTTAAGTTACGTTTAAAAACCGACTTCAAAAACTATAAATTAAAAACCAAAAAACAATAATAATTTATTGTACTCAGTACCTACCAACAACACCCACTAAAAGTTAATAAGTCGGTGCCACAAATCCATAACAAAATACTTATTACTTACCTACCGATACTGAATACACCAATCTAAGTTTTCAAAAATAATTTTATTGTACTGAGTACAATGAATTATTATTATTTTCTGGTTTTAAAATTATTTAAATTACAATAACTGATAATCAAATAGGAAAAGTCTCGTTAAAAAACATTTTTACAATCATTAGTAACGTAAAGTTCATTCAGAGATAGGTAATTTTTATCTGTGGAAATAATCAATAACGAAACGAAACGTTGGCGTCGCGTCGAGTTCAAGCCATGTCAGAGCGTTGTCATGACACACGTGGACGAATGACAGCTTTATCGGTTCACTCTTTCTATTTCCTTTTGTGGGAAAGAGATGTAATTCGATCAAATCGGTATTTCGACCTTGATCAGATTTTGAACTGATTGATTACCTAGGTACTGAAGATAAAACATTTTGAAATTGTGTCCATGTTAGAGACCACAGAACTTCTCCCAAGTTTAGTATTGAATGTTGATCGTGAATCAGAAAATCAACTGAAGCACGAATTTCCATTTGTAAGACGTGTCTTAAATAGAGGTATGCTTAGCATTTTGAGTTATTCTTTGGACACGTATGGTTCAGTTGTAACATATTTTCGTGAATATTTTTACTTATACCAATAATAATTTTTAAATACAATATTTAATATTAATTCCAGTCGTTGCGTGGCGTAATAGATTCGTCGAAATGACTAAAACTCGAAGTGAATTCAGATTTTTGGTGTACGCCGGTGCAATTTTCATATGTTATTTTATGTATGGAATGCTGCAAGAGAAAATAACAAGAGGAAAATATGGAGAAAGTAATGAAAAGTTCACATGTACTCTATCGCTAGTTCTAATACAATGTATTGTGAATTATATCTTCGCTCAAATCCTAATGGTAAGATATTTAATGATTAATAATTACAGTTAATCCCTTTTTAAAATAGTCTCCTATCTAGATACGTAGATATCTCTGATAGGGATAGATATCCTTGAATAAGCAGTTTTCAAATGCAGTAAAGTAGTACTTTGAGCTCAAATATTAATGCATTGAAATTGAATATAGACCAAAAGTCTAGCTTTCAATAATATCCCTTCATTGGACTAATGAGAGGCTTTTCAAAAATTAATAATTCTTAGTGTCTGAAACATTGTAATTTCCATATGGAAGAATATACAGTAGACATAAGACTTGAGTAAGAGTGAAATTTAGAACTGAATGATTTTATATGCGTTGATTTACATGTATTTAATTTGCAATTTTCAGCCTATTTTGACACTTAATGTATGTATTATAATGTATGTACTTTCATTTATTCAAAGTCAAAATAATAATCTTAAGTAAACATAATTTTGGGTATCAATTTATTTGTTTGTTTCTAAATGTTTTTTTTCCTATAGTGAAAATCAGACAACGAAACAAACTCACTTTTTTTAATCACATTTACATTTTAATAATATAATACATTATTTATTCGTCTTGATTCTTTTTAAGCGGCTGCTCTTACTATTACCCGTTTTGTAAAACCCTGCAAAAATCCAATTTCATTGCAGCTAAACCATTTTATATAAAGTCTAATAAAATGATTTAAGATTTTTACAGGTACCTAATAAACGTGGAGACTAAAGTCTAACAAAATGATTTAATATTTTTCCAGGTATCTAATAAACGTGAAGTGGACACTACACGGAGAGTATATTATTTCTCTTCAGCATTGACATACCTACTTGGTATGGTCAGTTCCAATATGGCGTTGCAGTGGATCAATTACCCAACACAGGTCACTAAACATTTTAATGAGTGACTGAGAATAGAAAGAAACTCAGTCCTGTTTAAAATAAGAAACTGCTGATCTACAGCACCATGTTAAAGTCTATCTGGACCCATGGCGTCCCTTTGTGAGGACTCAATAGCAAAATTAATATCATAGCATCGCATCCAACAAGCTCAAAATAACATTTTGTGTTGCATCACAGTGTTCCGTGGTTTCCCAGACATGAAACCACAAATACCTAAATGTTCCAACTGTAAAATTTCAAATGGAAATAGAAATATGCAGAATGGCTCTCGAGACATATAAACATTTTCACAATTTAACTTGTAGAACCTAACTATCAGTGTCTGCCTTTGGCACCACAGCTCCTGAATAATACAGATTTGCATTTACATCTTTTTTTGTGGCCAGTGTTTAGTATATCTAGATGTTATAAAGTTGTAAAGTTGATGTTATAATGTTAAAAAGTTAATAATATTCGTTATTCAACACTGAAGTTCTCTATTAGTCTTAAATGGGTTCTTTTTATAAATGTTTAATAGGAGCTACAAAATACTATTTTGTATATTTTTCTTATTTCTAAGTGATTTTTTGGGTCAGAAGATTATAAACCGATGTATTTTTTTTATTCTTTCAATTTTATTGTCATTGTCAACCATGACATAGATTTATAACAATAAAATGGTGGAAAAATAAATTTTATTAGTCCTGCATGACTTAGTAATAATATTTTACAATTAACATGTAGTTATGAAAAATTGTAATTGCAGTAAAATTATCTTTATCAATATTGAAATAGTGTTCATATTTTACAGTTTGTTAATTTTCCTAATTATATTTTCAGGTAGTGGGCAAGGCAGCTAAACCTATACCAGTGATGATACTTGGTGTCCTTGTGGGGCACAAGTCCTACCCGATGAAGAAGTATTTATTTGTTCTGCTAATCGTTGTTGGTGTAGTAATGTTTATGTACAAAGACCAAGTCAAGAAGACTGTTGACGACTCTTCCTCATTTGGAATCGGGGAACTGCTGCTTCTTCTTTCTCTAACCATGGATGGACTGACTGGTGCTGTGCAGGTAATATTAATTTATGTTGCCCCCACACTAGGTTTTTTGTTGTCATAAACATTCACTACCACAATGCACCCAGGCACAAAGCAACAATTTGGGGATAAAGCAAAAGAGGTGCCCATGCGGGAATCACTACACGTTACGCAGGAGCCTAGCCGGCTACCTAGCCACTACACCAGCCATGCAGTAAAAATGAATGTCTTTTTTGACATCAAACAAAACTTTCTAATTTTGACTTTAAGCAAGTGTAGTCTGCATAAATGCTATACAAATCTTTCTACTAATCAATAATCCTTTCTAATATTATAAATAGGAGATAGAAGGATAGAATAGGATGGCATTTTGTACACAATTGACATGTTTAAAATACATTTAAGACTTTTTTAATGATGGAAACATCACCCAATGGCTTCTGCCCTGGGCAAGGTGTGAAAGAGTGTTAGACTAAATATCACTCCGATCCAACTCCTACTTTGAGCCGGAGCGAACTTTATTATGCTTTATCCGCAGTTCCAGACGACCCATTGACCTTATTATTCTGAATGTTAAGGTTATGTCCACAGGTGTATCTATTGTTCTACTGTTCAATTATTTACTAGTGATGTTTCTCATTTTTTATTATGACATTTAATTAACCTTAACTATTATGCATGCAGTTAAAAGTAAACTAATGTCACCAGGCTAGGTTACTGTGTAAAAAAAATATACCTATACAAGTGTCAATTACTTTTGTTAGTCGTGTTATTTATTATGTAAGTGTGAATAATTAATGATAAATTAACATACTAGACAGTAAAAACACTTACTTTGAATGACATTACATAATTTTTAATCTGAGCTCACTACCGACACTGTGTACTGATAGTAGAATACTATTTTGAGAATGAATTTGGGTCATTAGGTTTCTGAGCCGGATCTTTTTACAAAACAGTGTCTAGACAAGTGCCGCATACCTGTAATAAATTTTGACATCAAAGTTGTTATTGAAAATACAGAATTAACATCCTACTCATAATAATATTGTGGGCACCTTGAGGGGAGGTGACGGGTATTAGCGAACCCGCGGGCTACCATCATCCCCAGTGCTCCAGAGAGAAGTCACCTTTCCTTATTCTCCAGCCTTATTTGCTGGCTGGAGTGAACGATGCATTTCTGTTGTCCCTTTGTTGATATATCCAGCAACCATTCCTAGGGGCCCGGTCGGCGAGTTGGCGAGTCTCCGCCTGCCATTTTTACGTACACGTAGGCTACAGTCTTACATTGTTTCGACATAGTTCCACAGCACATAGCAAACTATCCACAACCCTACCTTTTTTCCCATTGTCTAAAATAGTTTTACACTAATCGAGGACTGTCCTTAGAAAGTGGTCTCATACGCCTCCCAAATGACTGGGACCTGGTGGTCCCGTAACATATAAATATAAGTTTAAAAAGGTTGTTAATCTTCTCTGCAAAATGTACCTAAGGGATTTAAATGACATTTGTTTACAAAGGGTGATACTTAAGGTTTGTTTCATCCCAGTAATGCGGACAAAACTGCTGGTTGATGTAGTGGCGTAGCATAGGCGTTGGGTTGGTCAGTCGTCGTTGTTGAGGACTTTACTTAGCACTTTGCCTTAGCTAACTAGTAGATACTTACATTATAATAATAAAGTCCACATTGGAAAACACGGAAATACCTAATGATACTGTTGACACTGAAATACTGTTTTTAAGAAATATTTGCTAAGGATTATCATGTCATAAGACTCAAAAATGTATTGCTACTATGTTAACCATACCAAACCTTTACTTTACCAGGAGCGTATCAAGAGTGAATCTTCGCCGTCCGCCTATGCCATGATGCTGAACACAAATATGTGGTATGTACCATCTTTATAGGTATTTGATACCTATATCTACGTAAAGTATCTCTTTTAAAGTTTCCTTAAGAAAGCCTTATCATACTTTATTTTAGTTGTAGATCTTGCGAATTTACTTTATCAACTAATAATATCTTCATTAAGATCATCCCTAATCTCTAGTCCTTCCCATCATCGTACCACAAGACTATCGACGACGCGAATCGACTCGCTCCAAGGTTCCTTGTGGGATCTAAGGAGTGGAGTTCTTTGCCATAGTCTGGGTTTCCTGAAGGGTTTCTTCAAGGCCCAAGTGAAAAGGTTGCATATGGGTAGACGTGCTCCATTATAGGTAGGTCATCATCACTGACCAAACGTCGACCCACAAAATATAAAAAAAAATGTTCCTGCCCAGGGACAGGTCCCAAGTTAGACAAGGGCAGCAACATTTTTTGTATTGGTCTTCTTCCGAACTCCATTGTAAACGTGATCCCTTGACTAACCTCTTGTGTTACAATAAAACCTCTTGGATATTGTCCTCTTACTTTTATTTATTAATAACATATCAATGAATAAGCTGATGAATTTGCGAAGCTATATGCCTTAAACACATGTTACTGATACAACGCAAAGCGATCGATTTATTTTTGCAGCTGCAAACTTTAATTATACTATTTAATTTAGCATGATCAACATTGAGCGAATATTTGCAATAAGTACCACATCATTATTGTCTGAAATGTCTTATTTTCACCTCAAAATTTGTATTTGTAACCACTATATGCGGTTTTTTATACTTATAAAAATCATTATGATTGTATGCACTGCGTGCGTCTTCGGTCAACGAATGGTACTTACCTACCTACTATTATTGATCGAATCAAAGGCTTTTTACACATGATTATGCATATATTTTAGTTCTGGATGGATGTTTGTGAAATACTCTGAATAAATAGTTTCCATTATTAATTGATTTGACGATAAGCTTACTATTTTATGATAATAACTACTAACTACGTCAAATATTGACGTTAAAACATGACCTCACAATACTCAATCTCTTATAAAAACCTGTCATTCTTGACAAGCTGAAGTAAGTATTTAATTTGACTTGTTGTTAACTACATACTATTTCAAACGTAGTATTTACGCGGAGAACCTAACGGGTTACCGGGGCTCCGGCTCGACGTGCAGGAGAAGGAACGGGGTGGTTTTTAGTCTGTAAAAGTCTGACACTCCCTCCCGCCTCACCCAGGCGGGAGCAGGCATTCGATGATTTTCCCCCTTAAAAAAAATTCACGTCTACAGCGACCAAATAGGCTGCTATGACACTAGGCGGTGTCACTGATAAATTTGAGTAGGCCAAACAATATCGCAGTCATCGCGCATCTGTTTTAAAGGCACTCACAACACTTCTCCGGTGTTGCGAGTCCATCGGCGGCACGCTGCCGATTGCATAATAATGGTCGTCAGCTCGTTTGCTGCCATATAAAACAATCCTAATTAACTTAAACACTTTTGTCTAGTGATTTATACTATAATGATAGGTAATGCAAATAGGTAGGTAAACCAAAGTTTAATGCAGATAAGTGTATGAAAAACGTTAAACGGAACGTGCAATGATTTGACAGTGACATAAAGTACAGCCATTTTTAGCAGATTATCGATCGATTTCTATTCAGAAATGGCAATGGCGTCTCTTGAAGCTATTTCATTGTGTGGCTGGCCAAACCTAATTACCTTCTGTTTGAAGGCAGTCACAATTAGTCAGTTATTGCTATGGACATTTACGTGTAGAATTCCTACATGCCGGACGGCTTATATATATATGTCGCATTGCGTGAAACTTCAAGTGCTAATATTCCAAAAATGTACTGCAGTGCTACAATACCGAAGCTGAATGTGACCAAGACCCAAAGCGAAGGTAACTCAACTGAAATGATATTAAACTGTCTATTAATTAAAATGTTTGCAGACTTATCTAGAGTCATACCATGGTTCATGGTGCTGGTAGATACCTAGTAAGGCTTCTGACCACCCATGGATACTGAAATTTCACTCGGTTTCTTGAATTCCTTGCAATACGAATTGCACTTTGCCAAAATACTATACAAGAGTATCAATTTATTTATGTACTTTAAAATTTATTTAATCTTAACGGGTTGTATAGTATTAACTCATATATAAAGTACTGACATTTGCATACTGGACCAGTGGACCTGTTAAGATTCCATTCCAATCTCAGATCATCGGCTTAAGACTATTTCTGGGTTTATAAAAAAATCTCAATAGTAGCACGGAGTCTGGAATTATGTCCGGTATATGGCAATAGGCTCACTCCCTATTACATGGGACTTATAACATAAATAGTGAAAAGTGTGTGTTAAATTGTAGAGGCATTAAGTGCATAATGTGCACCTCTGCCTACCCCTTGGATAAAAGGCGTGATGTTATGTTATGTGACAAAAGACATGCAAGTTTTAAATTAATAATAATTAAATACACCTTTTTTTTCTATCGCGATGGAAATCCTCATGGACTTCCCGCGTCGTGGGGATGACGAGGGGGCGTGCCGGACTCTTACCGGCTAAAACCACCGCGGTGTTCCTTGACTGCCTGTGACCGTGACCCGGGTTGTCCTTATATAATTAAATACACCTGCGTAAATTAATTACCAATTATATGCGAAAAGCTCTAGGTGAAGATACGGTATGGTATGGTATACTTCAGTAAAATTAATTTTTTTACCCGGGATGTCTCATGCTACTTTTATGTGAATTGTTAATGAATCCACCTCTTAAATTAACGGGGAAACATGTATGGGAAATGTACCCATACCCATATGGTACCAACCAATAACGACCAGACATATGTGTTAAAACAATTCTCACTCCGTACATTTGGTCCACAGGGTCATTCCCCACAATGAATTGAAACTAGCCCCCATAATAACAAATGATAGTCATGAAAAGAGCTTTCTAGGGACATTTATGTCTGGTCTTTATTGGTCGGTGGGTCCTAAGCTTATTACAGTCATTTAAACGAGATTTATGTCTAAAGTGGTTGCTAGCTGCTTGAATATTTTGATTATCACTTTCAACAGGGAACTTCCCAAGCAGTGTTGCATTAAATTGTCAATATTTTATATAAAGATGAAATCTTAGTATCAGTGAATCTTAATGATGCTTTAATTTCCTGGAAGATCTTTCCGCGTTTACGGTCACACTGTCATTAAATTAACTTATACTCCTGGGAAATATTTGTGTCTATAAAAATGTCCTCAATCCCTAATCCCCAAGTGCCCAATCTTCGAATCCTTGACCCTCAAAAGGATAGACAACCCTTGTAACACCGCTTATTTGCAGGTGTCCATAGGCGGCGCCGATTGGCTACCTTCAGGTAACCGGCCTGCTCGATTGCAGGCCTATTCCATAAAAAAAGGTGCAGAGAACCTAACGGGTTACCGGGGCTCCGGCTCAAGGAACGGGTGGTATTTAGTCAGTAAGAGTCTGACACTCCCTCCCGCCTCACCCAGGCGGAGAAAGAAGCCATTCGATGATTTCCCACACTTAAAAAGAATCCAAATAAAGATTAGCCTATGTTCCTGCACATAGACTATTGTCATGTGATTCGAGGACTGACTATTTCTTCAGACTTAAAGATAGTATTGCCATACTTGGCAACTTCTGGGAGCATTCCCTAATGATATTGGTGATAAGAATGAATCCTTTTTCACCAAAATCAAGTGTTAATGATTTTCTTGCCCATTTTTAAATATTTGTTATGAACGTGTAAGTACTTATTGCAATTTTATTGCTTTTTTAATCCACTAATATGAACAATTTATTTAAACTAAAATAAACTATGCTGCTTTGTTATTCTACTAAAAATAAAACCTACCTATACAGAAAGCGTATAAGAAACGAAACGTGCAATGAAACTGCATCTGCTGTCATAATGGCAGTTCGACATTGACAGTACGTTTAATTGTGACACCTCGTCGTGTTATCGATTTTAGTTCAGAAATGGCTTCCATAAAAGCTGTGTGTTGAGTGACCGATTAAAATGAAATAACTTCTAAAGAGATAGTTACACAGTCACAACTGGACTGCTTAAAACAATAATACGGGTTGGCAAAACTATACGTGTAGATAAACGTCGCGAATATGAACAAGTTCGCCGATGCAGGTGATAAGGGTTTGCCGCATTGCGTCAAGTGTCGAGTGGTGCGTCTAGGAAGTTAGTAACTTATTTTGTATGTTGATTTTTATAAGTCTCTATATATGGTAATAGGTTCGTCGCCTATTAATGAGACTCTTAACATAAATAGTAAAAATTAGGTGTTACATTGTCCGGTGGCATTAGTGCCGTAATGTGCTCTGCCTACCCCTTCGGATATAAGGCATGATGTTATATTATGTGTGATCCACTGTGATACTTGGTAGCATTCTCTAGCGCAACTTTTATAGACTGCTCACAACATATGAGTTTTTTTATGGGTATTACCATCAACATAGAATTTTGTGCATTAGTATTTTTTCAAGTGTTAGCAATATTTTGCGGTTTTCACTTAATCTAATACCTTACGTATGCATATGACAGCGGTTTCAGAAACGGCTCCATCGATTTTCGTGAAAATTCCTATTTAGGTGGTTTGGGGGGCGATAAAATGTCGTTATCTCCGTGTTTTCATTTAATAAAAATACTTATTCGAATACGAAGCTAAATTCCTCTCTCATATATCACGTTAAAATAGTTTGGTAGGGAAAGCGGACGCCTGATACACAGTACATTCGAGTTCAAACCTCTGTCGAAAGGTTTCTTCGGTTTTTATTTATTCTACAAAAATATGTCCTAAAAAACACCGGCCAAGGTCTGTCATCCAGGTCTTTAAAGTAAATTATCTGTTCAAGTAAAGTGCGGCTATCTTCACAATGTGGTAGTAGACAACTAAAGTCGTTTTGAGACAATGGTTTTAGTGTGATGATTGGTATTAGAACTGTAGTTTCACTAGAGGTATGGTGGTGATAAAATTGTTTAAAAAATATCAACTAAATTATGTAACTGATAAAATCTACTGTATGTAAATATAAATCGATTAGGGACTCAAAATAAAATAATTTTTATTTTCAAAATGAAAATATAGTTATTTCGGTGATTACTAACCATCTTGTTCATAATGGCCAGACCTTTCTTGCTCATAATTTCCTATATAGTACTTTACTTAGTACTTTATTACAAATGATAATTAGGTAATGCACTATAATTAAAAAAAGTTAAAACATTTAAAATGCGGGGATTTTGACATCTTTTGGCATTTGACACAAATTATTATTATTATTATTTATTTAATTCAGACAGGCAGTTGAAACAACTGATATAACTGATATTTATCTAAATATTTTTAAAAATTTACAATAATTTAGACTATAAAGTCTTAATTAAATATTATTCTAGATTCAAAACAATAATAATAACAAGTCAAATTCAATACTTTTGTCGCAAAGTCACAAACATTTTTATATCTTTATCACAACTCATCGCAAAACGGGATGATGTCCGTCGTATTAGAATATTTTGCAAATTTTGAATATATTATTTACAGGTCATCAATGATCCTGTCAATAGGTGTGTTGCTGAGTGGTGAAATATTCAAGTTTATTGTGTTCGTGTCAACTTACCCTGAAGTTATAATATTCCTTATTGGACTGGCATTCGTTGGAGCTTTGGGACAAATGTTCATATTCTTTATGGTAAGAAAATAAACTAACATACTATTCAAATGTCAGCGTGGCATAGTACCTATTCTGTATCAAATAATTAATTTATACGTAAAACTAAATTTAAAGTTATAAACATTATTAACATTCTTTATAAAAGTCAAAGTATGAGAGTGTGAAGTCATTAAAGAAGTCTCCTGTGGTTATTTTGGCCCTTTGAGTAAAACGAAATAGTGTGTCACAGTCTCTTTATCATGGTTTGAAATTATAAATGTTTTAATACATCAGGTGGCAGAATATGGACCGCTCCCATGCTCTGTGGTGACGACGACGCGGAAGTTCTTCACTGTGCTGACGTCGGTTATCATATTCGGTAACGCTTTGTTGCCTCGACAGTGGTTGGGGGCTATCCTAGTATTTACAGGTGAGCAAAATCCATTTATCTATGGTGTACAAATGTGAAATATCACTTCTCCTTTGCGTGCATATGTTAACCCGTCGAGTGGTTATGGAGTTTCTTGCTCGTTCTTCTCCATAGGAATCTACGCCTTGGAATGAGCAACTAGCTTCACTTATAATTTTTTGTTGTTTGACGTTCAAAAGTGCCATCCTGGTCTAATTGAAATAAATGATTTTGACTTTGACTTTGACTTTGACTTTAGCGTCCGCGTTCCACGATCCAACGGGTGCACACGTGACATTTGGAGCATTTTTTCTTATGATCCACCGGGTGCTCATAAGGACGTTCGAGGGGTTAATGAATTTAGTATTTATTTATTATTAATTAACATAGATATTGGTGATTATATTGGTGAGATAAAAAGAGCTGATTGAACAAATATGTGCTCCCTACCCGAGGGGTATAGCAAATGCCTAAAGACACTCCAAACATCATTTGGCCTTCAACTAATTTGTTCATAGTCTGGTGACTGAGTGTATTAATACAAAAAAGATTTCAAAGAGTTAGCATAATTCCAATTGTTTCCAATTGGAGCCCAAGGGTATTTGTAGAAGTAAAAAACCTCTGTGTGATCCTGATGTGAATGTGACAATTAAGAAAGCCATGGTTTTATAAATTTGGCTAGTCCAATAATAGAATAGAATAGAATATCTTTATTGAACACCATTAATAATTTAGTACATATAAAAAAGGAAATAACAAACATAAAAAAAACAATGGGCATAAAGGCGGTCTTATCACTTACAGTGATTTCTACCAGACAACCATTGGGTGGATATAATGCAAGAGAAATATTTAGACAGGTTGTGTACTATGAACATAAATAAATAAAGTAGTACTAACTCGAATTCAATTATTTATACCATTAACGTTTAGTCAGAAAGTTTAATTAGGTATTGTAGTTCAGTTGTAGAGATAATCGGGAATAGAAATAGGACACAATATGATTAAACACTCCTTTGGGTGGGGAAGGCAGATGGGGTGAAAGTAAACAAGAAAGCACTGCACATATTAACTCGTCGAGTACCGGTTTTATAGACACAATTAAAGAACAATAGGTCGCGTTCACCGGTGACCGCTTGGTGTTTGACAGTTTAATGAAACAAATTAAAAAGTACATAAGTAAATGTTTATTCATAGGTGTACTATGTTCTAATGATTGTTACTCTCCATTATGTATCATGTGTTTTAGCTATTACCTAACCGTTTGTGGACTGTTATAATTATTTTTTTTAAATTTGAAAGTTTTTACTCCTTATGTTATTCCATTGCCACTAAGTCCATATATGACATTGGTGTTAGAAAAATGAAGGGGACTCAAGTATCAGAAACAGCAATTTTTTCATTAATTAGTTTAACACTCTAGTTTCGTAATCAATCTGATGATGGAGCCTACAAACGGTTGTGGAAACTATGCAACAATAACTGCAGTAACTCCGTGTTACTCGATTGATTAAACTTGAGGATAACTTTGCTCTTAAGTGGGTAATAAGACCAGGGCTAATAATTATTACATGTATTTTTTTGGCCACCTGAACAGGATGGAATGATGAAGCCCCAGGAAAATCGAGGATGCCCATCGGTTTAATTTAATTATTGTTTTTGAGAGTACACCTTTATCACAAAAGTGATTCATGGGTGTATAAAGGTACTCAGAGAGAGTTTGAGAGTGTGAGAGTGTAAGAGAGTGAGAGTAAGAGAGTGAGAGTAAGAGAGTGAGAGTAAGAGAGTGAGAGTAAGAGAGTGAGAGTAAGAGAGTGAGAGTAAGAGAGTGAGAGTAAGAGAGTGAGAGTAAGAGAGTGAGAGTAAGAGAGTGAGAGTAAGAGAGTGAGAGTAAGAGAGTGAGAGTAAGAGAGTGAGAGTGATAGAGATAGAGAGAGAGAGAGAGAGAGAGAGAGAGAGAGAGAGAGAGAGAGAGAGATTACATGCGATATGAGAATTATAGTGAGATGGTGACTATATTATTTATATTTTTAATTTCAGGATTGTTCCTCGATATGTTCTACAGCAAAGGGAAGACATCTGTGAAAAGAGTATCGGACAAATGATGATTTCAAACTATTTTTTCCTGAAATTTTGCGGTATGACCTCAATTTCTATATCTAGCGTACATCTTATAATTATTATTCACAATGTTGGTGTCTTCGCATTAAAGTCATTGTACATTACACAGAAGCTTGAAACACAATTTTCACACTCTGGAATATCTTTAAGATAACCAGACTATTTAGGTTAATGTTAAGTTAAATATTGTTTAACTCGCAAGTCAAGTTAATCAAATTCAAAACTTTTATCAAAATGCAAAAAACGATTTCCTATGAACTAAGAGGTCCCAAGTTATGACGTAACATATTGTGTCTAATTTGTAAATATATTAACAGTAACTACCTTACTACTACGTAACGTAACTCCCCTATATATACGTACTAGATTTTACCCGCGGCTTCGCTCGCGTCACAAAAGGATAAAAAGTATACACACACAGCGCCATCTATATCAATACTTTTGTTTTTCCTCGGGAATATAAATTTTTTACGGGTTAAAAAGTACGATATTATTTAATCCGGACTTTTAACTTTACGTCTGCAAAAATTCAAAGCAATCGGTTTAGTAGTTACGGCGTGAAAGTGGAACAAACAAACAAACTCACTTTCCGATTTATAATATTAGTAAGGATTTCTTCGTTCCTTTTTTGTTCGCTTTGTTCTTAACTGAATATCTAGGAATCACACTGGAACCCAAACCGCTCATCGGATAAATCTGAATTTTTGTGGATGCGTTCTTTGTACGACGTAGGTGAACAAGAAGCGATTTTTCGACATTCGACCCACCCCTAAGGGAGTCAAATGTTGGGACCAAAGTTTGTGTAGAAAAACTTGATTCCTTGGTCCGATCTGGTTCAAATTTTGCATGAACATTCTTTAATAGAATGAAATGAAGACCTGATTCTTTTTTATGAAAATTGAATGTCTAATTGAGTCAAAAACGGTAGAAAGATTTTAATTTTTGTAAACTGCAATAAATCCTCCTTAGAATCGTCCTTAGTGTCAAATTACATCAAAAAATTTTATGTTCTAAAATTAAAAAAATCGGAATGTGACAATGACGGCCATATCTATTTACTTTTTTAAGTGAGGTGGAACAGCGATAATTCTTCTTCTTAGGATATTGATTGAAACAATATAAATATTTGAACTCTATTTAACTCTCGATCGAACTCAAATAAATTGAAAATAAATAGATCAATTATTTTACAATACGACAGAATTACTTTACTTTATCGAATAAATTAAAATTACGTATTAATTTATACATTAATAAAAAAAATATTTTACGCATTTAGGGGTAAAAAATTCCACACCACGTGAAAGAAATGAAAGCAGCGCGTTTTTTTATAGTGTAGTCTTTTATAAGTGTAATGCTCATGTGATTGCTGTAGGTACACACTTTCGGAACTTGCCACAATCTCCAGCCCTTAGCTGTTTCTGATGATCTAATGATTTCAAGCTAAGTGAACAAGTATCTCCGTAATTTTATTGTGAAATAATTAATAAATAAGTGTTTTTGTTATCTAGACTGAGCTAAAAGTATGTGTAATAATACAATAGTGACTGTGTAATGTTTGTGATAAAAAGTTTATGATAACTTTCATAAAAACACAAAAATTATGATTGCGTTATGATTGCGTTATAATTGCATAAAACTGATAACCAGCTGCAAAATTTGTAAAAGTGCACTTAAATACTCTTACATAATTGTGTACCAATAATATCTAGTGGCAATATATAGTCTCAAGAGCATTCTTATAAACAAAGATTTCTAAAAAAATACGAAAACTGTTTTAAATCAAAATAGGCGGTATAAACAAAACTATTCAGTGCTGACAACTTTCAGAAAAAAAAAACCATAAACAACGATCCACAATTTCCAAAGACAACGAGTGATAATTATTTTGCTCCGTTACACGAAACGAAGATCGGAAAGACATTCTCAATCCATTTATGACCTTAGTGTTGTCATACAAAAATAAAAACAAAAAAAATGGATAGTCAAAATGTTACTATTCGTAAAAAAGGTATTATGATGAATGAATCATTGGACTGTACATTCACGTCATCACATTCGACGCATGAATATTTAAGGAGAAGTCTTCCGGATTTGTCGACTAGGGATGAAACAAATAATGCATTACAGGAAGAATTACTTGATTTAAAGATACAATTAGAAAGAGCCCATAATGAAATTGATAACCTGCTACTAGAAAACAACACATTAAAAATGCAAACAGTAGAACAACAAAAAACTATTAAACAATTAAAAACTATTTGTACTAGCTCTCCAATAAAACATAAACTAAATCATTCCACACCGAAAGGGAAAAATAAAGCTTCACAGAAAAACCACAACGTACCATCTGAAGCAAACAATAGCATCGATTCATTACAAGACAATTGTCAAGTAATTGAAAAAATTGTAGCTAAACGACAACAAGAACACCATATACAGTCAATAGATGGCGCTGCTAACCTCGTGACAAAAACTACTCAACCACGAACTGAAAAGCCTCAAATTAATATACTGGGTGGTAGTCAGTGCGTTGGAATGTCGTCAGCACTATTATCCTCAAGAACAAATACGAAATACCAAAAGTATCGAATATCATCACTAGTAAAACCACATGCACCATCAGAAGAAATATTAAGTACGTGTGCAGAGCTGGACGACAGCGATGAGAACTTTGTGATTATGTGTATTGGTGAAAATGACAATAATCCTAACAAGGTAATGATAGAACTAGTATCTTTTTTAAAACGTATAAAGAAGACTAACGTTATTATTTTAAGTGTACTAAACAATAAGCATCTAAATGAGGGTATGCTCAATAAGCTGTTAAGAAATATTTGTAGTTATTTTGATAATTGTACCTTTCTTAATGTTAATGCTAACAAACACTTTTATAGCAGAAAGCATTGCCTCATACACACTTGTAAAATGTTAAATTATACCATAGATAATACTTATTATACTAAAACATTCTTAACGCATAAGCAACCTGCTAAAAATTGTACGCCAATTGATAAAAGCTCTCACAAAAAAAATGCTGAACAAGAAATTAAAAAGGGAACCATCCCATACTACTTTCCACTCCGAAAAACTAAGCATATAACAGATGACTTTTTTCGAGTCTAATAAGCAACGTAATGTAACACTGTTTCATCAAAACATAGCAGGCTTGTTAAATAAACTAGAACAAATAGAATTGTGTATTGAACATTTAACAACATGTAGTTTGGGTGTAGACTTTTTATGTATTAGTGAAACATTCATTAAATCAGGTGATGAGAACAACATTTACTTAAAAGAATATAATTTAGCTAGTTACTATTCACGTAAAAGTGAAAAACGAGGTGGAGTTTGCATTTTGGTAAAAAAATGTTGGGGTATTAAAGATACTAATATATGTCATAACTTGTCTACTGAGAAACTATTTGAATGTTGTAGCGTGGAAATTCCTGAACTGAACTGCTTAATTGTATGTTTATATAGAATACCAAACTCTAACATTAACTTATTTCTTAGAAAATTTGAACAACTTTTGCATAAAATAACTTCATCTAAAAAGAAAAATGTTATAATAGCTGGGGATTTTAATATAAATGTACTTAAGGATAACAATATTACTTCTCATTTAAATGACATTTTGTTAAACTGTAATATGAGACTACACATTAATCAACCTACTCGGAAAGAATCCTGCATAGACCTCATTATAAGTAATATTAAAGATGCTAAAGGTAAAGTGCACGCATTATACCTTTCGGATCACAACACAGGCCAGACCTTAACATATAAAACATCTAAAAAACAGACACTAGCATTTTGGTACGAGATGAAACGTGACTATAGTACAGATAATATATCTAAATTCAAACAAGCTCTACAAAGCTTATCATGGTCAGAAGTACTCAATGCAAAAGACGGTAACCAAGCTTTCAATATGTTTCATGATACATTAACAATGTACTACAATCTATGCTTTCCAATTAACAAGGTTAAAATACGTGCTAACTCCACAACGCCTGCTTGGATAACGAAGGGTATAAAAATAGCTGCCTCTCAAAAAAGAAAACTCAGGTACTTGTGTTATAAAAATCCCTCAGATAAAAACAAACAAAATTATTACAAATACTATAAACTATTTAAAAAATGTATATTTGAGTCCAAAAGGTATATAAATAACAAACATGTTAAAAATGCAAAAAATAAATGCAGGGCAACCTGGAATATAGTAAAACATAAATATGATGACGTCAAAATATATGAGAGTATAGACTCAATTAAATCAAATGGTCATATAGTTCGTAATCCAACTGAAATAGCTTTAGCTTTTAACGATTTTTTCATTTCTACTACTAATAAAGTAAATAATACATCTTCCCCCATTTATACTTGATTAAAACAGTTCCTTCTACAATGTACCTAACACCGACTACAGGCAGCGAAATCATAAAAACAATCAACTCATTGAATAACACAAGAGCTGTTGGTTATGATTGTATATCTACGCCAATCTTAAAAAACTGTAGCACTGAACTAGCTGAAATCCTCAGTCACCTTATTAACATCTCGTTTGAGCAAGGTGTGTTTCCCGATAAGCTCAAGTTTTCAATTGTAAAACCTATTCATAAAAAAAACTGCAAATTAGATATGAACAACTACAGACCCATCACAATGATCCCTATAATATCTAAAATTTTCGAAAAAGTTATGCACTCTCGTCTTGTAAATTTTCTAACTAGATTTAAAATAATAACAAACAATCAGAACGGCTTTCAAAAAGACAAATCCACTACCCTCGCCGTTTTCTCGTTGATAAAATGTGTGACAGAAAATATAGATAAACGAAATCGAGTCTCCACTATATTTTTTGATATGAGCAAGGCCTTTGATTTCGTGGATCATGAAATCTTGCTTAAAAAATGCGAGTTGTACGGAATTCGAGGCAATGCACTCGATTGGATCAGTAATTACTTAAATAATAGATCACAATGCGTTGAACTAAATAAACTTAACAATAAAAATGTATCTACTTCATATAAGTCTTCATTTGTAGTTAACAGATTTGGTGTTCCTCAGGGCAGTGTGCTGGGTCCTCTTCTGTTTCTGCTATATAAAATGATATTCCCCAAGTCACAGAGCATAATTGCATTTTATTTGCAGACGATATATCATTAATAGTTACAGAAGATAAAACTGTAAATTATGAGTTATCTCTAAACCACGCAATATCGTCTATAATGACCTGGCTCACTCATAATAATCTAACTGCTAATGTCTCCAAAACCAAAATACTCCAATTCGTAAACTCAACCAATCATAGCAAATTATATAACAAACTCAGTATCCAACATAAAAATATTCCAATAGAGGAAATACATGAGACCAAATTTCTGGGCATTATGCTAGACAGGAATTGTAAATGGAAGCCACACACGGACATGCTGTGCCATAAAATAAATAATGTTTGTGTATGCACTCAAAAAATTGAAAAAAGTCTCTTGCACTAAAACAACACTGGCTGCGTATCATGGTTATATAGGGTCTATCATAAGATACGGATTAATTATCTGGGGTAACTCTTCCTTCGCAAAAAGAGTGTTTATTGCTCAAAAAAAATGTGTTCGTGCTATTTGTGGCGTGGGACCTCTGGAATCATGTAGACCATTATTTAAAAAATTAGGATTATTAACATTAACCTCACTGTACATATTAGAAATAGCAATATTTGTAAAGAAACATCCCGAACTTTATAATAAGGTAATAGATCATAAGAAGAATTCATCCAGAGATCCAACGCGACTTGCTGTAATAAGATGTAGAAGCACACTATGCCAAAAAAACTCATATATAACATCAATTAAAATATTTAACAAAATACCTAAACATATAAGAGAATTACCTTTAAATAAATTTAAGATTACACTGAATAAACTACTAATAAACAGTTGCTTTTACACCTTAGATGAGTTTCTTACAATGAAAGTTTAATGTGTGCAATACATACTAAGTGTGCAATATTAAGTGTGTTGTGATTTAGTAAGTCACTAATATGATAAATATGTGAATAAAGAAGAAAAGTAATAATAATATGTTAGGAGAAATAATTATGTTATCCTAGTTGTAAGCATTTTTGTAATTGGTTTTATTGAATGTAAGAAATTAACTTTATTATATTGTAAAACTTAACTTTGCATGCCGAAAACAGTAGGCGATGTATGTGGGACTATTTTTTATAATTATTACTACCTGTAATTACCATACTTCGTGCAAATAAACGTTCTTATTCTCTTATTCTCTTATTCTCTTATTCATCTTGGGCACCCATCGGTATGTTGTTTTTTGAATGAAAATGCTTGTAATGAATCTACAGAAGTGCTTCGCAAATAATTTGGGCGAAATTTTGATCTGCAAATTCTAGGTCGATACCCTAGGGCTTTTACCGACTTCAAAAAAAGGAGGAGGTACTTCAAATAACGGAGAAGTCGGTTCCATAAGCTCATATCTTTAACTTAACTTAATGTCCACAAAATTGTGAATTAGGTACCTATTAAGGTTTTAATGAATAATTTTGTATGGAACTTATGGCACCGACTTCTAACCTATCAGTGGGTGGGTAACCTATCAGTACTAATAATAGTTATTTTTTGCTTTTTAGTTTTAACTTTTTGTTTGTTATTAGTTTTTGGGTTTTTTGAAGTTGGTTTTTTTATTAACATGAGAGACACAAGACCAGCACGCTTACACTTGAAACTAATCTCAATATACATTTTAAACCAATGAAATAACAATACAATAATTAGTGCGTACTCTTGCCGACCGTGGAATTAAGATCGCATTGCTATTGGGATTGCCTTCGTATCGGTAAGATAGAAGTGAAGTTAGCTTTCAGCAAACTTCACAATAGTGAGGACTTATGCGTTTGGCCCGGTATCGATAAACTGAATGTAAAATAAAATCTACGGTTTTAACCAATTTTAATGTTAAATCAAAAACTGCATTGAAAAAAATTATACATTGTTTAAGTCACATATTCCTATATTAATTTCAATAAATAAATATTTAAAAAAATATGAATTATAGGTTTGTGATTGATTATTATTTTGCGTTTCATAGCATCTTCAGAAAGCAATAAATAGATGAAGACGATGAATCTTTGAATTGGTATAACTTCGTCATCTTGGATCCTACAAACTTTACGCCGTAATAACTATTGCTCCAAATGGCTAGTTCTAATGATACGTACTATTTTTTTGTTCAAAAATGTATGGAGGCTAAACGATCTCCTTTGACTTACTATATTTTTATATCTTGAAGTTTAGAATATCAAAATGTTGGTCGTACGGACACCTGGTCTTGTGTCTCTAATATTCATAAAAAGCGTATCTGCCACTTTCGGGCGTGCAAAATATTTCGCCTATAATGTGTAGTAATGAACTTAAAGTCTTGATGTGTTTGTTTCACCCTGTGCGTCGATATTTGAATTACTTACCAAATGACTAGTGTAAACTTGTCCTATGTTTTTGATGTCTTGGAGTTAAGAATATCAAAATGTTTGGTCGGAGTGACAATTGGTGTTATCTCTAATATTCGTAAATAGCGTATATGCCATGGTCAGGCTTAACCAAGTATTACCTTCACCTCATAATACAATCAAAATTTCGTCCATAAAGTTTAGTATTGAACTTGAAGTCTTGATGTGTTTGTTTCACCCTGTGTGTCGATATTTGAATTACTTACCAAATGACAAGTGATAAAATTCTTCTGATGCTTTTTAGTTTTGGAGTTAAGAATATCAAAATGTTTGGTCGGAGTGACATCTGGTGTTATCTACAATATTCGTAAATAGCGTATCTGCCACGGTCAGGCTTAACCAAGTATTACCTTCGCGTCATAATACAATCAAAATTTCGTCCATAAAGTTTAGTATTGAACTTGAAGTCTTGATGTGTTTGTTTCACCCTGTGTCGATATTTGAATTACTTACCAAATGACAAGTGATAAGTATTTCGTTAAACGTCTTTGGTTTTTTTAAATCTAGCATATCAAAATGGTTGGTCGGAGTGACACCTGGTGTTGTGTCTAATCTTCAAAAATAGCGTATCTGCCACGTTCAGGTTTAACCAAGTATT